CCCCAAAACCCCAAAACCCCAAAACCCCAAAACCCCAAAACCCCAAAACCCCGTTTTTGGAAATTATTATTGAAAATGGGGACGGTGTTGTTAAAAGAAGAAGAAATCAAAAGAATAGGGATAGACTCTTTCAGGATTCCGATTTCACGAAAGAACGTCAAAGACTTTGCTATGCCTCTGACTAATATTAACTTCAAAGACCTCAGAGAGTTTTATGACAGATTCAAGAAGATGAGCAAAGGTAGTATCACAGTATTTAGTAACTATAGATGGAAATTACTTGTATATAAATCAGAGGACTTTTATAGAGTTAAACCTCATACAAAAGCATATAGCCCCTGTGGTTTTTGATTACTTCTCTACCAAGGAGAAAGTCAATTTCTATGAGCTCTATCTCACCTGCATTTGGACTGCCAACGGAAGGATTTCACATAAAGTGAAGTACATCTTTTGATTAATGTGCCAAGACAAAAAGACTATGAATTATGATGAATTCATGTTTGTCTTTCAGAATTCTGTCAATGGGCTGATCAAAATATCGAAGAATCAACCGAGGCTTAAGTATGAACTCCTAGAGATCGCATCCTTAAAAGCATTTTCCTCCTCAGATATTGGGAACAACCAAGAACTCACTCAGGAAGATGTAAAATTATGGATAGCGTTCAATAGCGAATTTGAATCTTTTCTAAATGAATTTGACGCTCCTAAGACTTATAATGTTCCAGGAAGTGTTTTTGCAAACTTTAAATCCAATAGGAACTTTGAATACTTTGAATCTCATGTTTTGACTGCAAAAGGAGGAAAGAAAACTATTAAAAGATCTATGACTGTAATACCCAGAAAAGGGTTAGACTCAGAAACTTCAACAGATATGGTCTGGACTAATAACACCCAAGTAAAGACGATTTACAAATTTCAAATCAAGCAAGCTAATACGCTTCTTAAAAAGAATCATATGAAGTTTGATAGCAACATATCGAGTGAAAAATCAGATGATTCTTTGACTGTCCCAAAAGAGCCGAAATTCAAAAAGCTTAAACTATCAAGCAAGGTTATAGAAGGATCCAAAATTACAGTATTCTCTCAAAAAGCAAGAGATGAGCAAAAACACAAGAGCGAGGGACAGAAGATGTTCAGAATTTCTAGTCGGAAAAAGAAGGATCTCCAGACCCCATCTCCCAATACTTCAAAATCAAAGAAAAAGGTGGTAAGAATATTTCATAAAATATAGCTTAAAAACGACTTATGCACAATAAGCATAAAATCTAAATCTACAACTACTTGACTGACACAAAGAGTCCCAAAAATATGGGAGAACATGGATAAAGAGAATACGAATAAGATGAACCAGGATCTTGAAGCTGTGGGGTACACTACTTGCCAAAGAAATAACTCAGATAAGTACAATGACGCACAGATTGGTGGAAAGATATAATAAAACCAGAGAAATGCATAAAGCAGATATCCAAAAGCCAGATTGATGTGAGTAAACTTAAGCCAAAGAAGAGAGTCAAGGATACCTATCAGGCTCAGATGAAGGTATTCTCATCCATAGAAAAAGATCGTATAAAGGGTAAGACAATGAGCTCACTTCAATAGACTTTAATAATCACAATAATTTCTTGAATACTTTTGAGAAATCCAGACCACCTCAACTTCATAGAGTACTTGGAATGTCCTCAGTCATCACAAATGCTGATTTAAATAGAGGAAACTGAAGATATGTTGCTCAGAAGAGCTTTATCCCTGTGAAGCCAATTAGAATGAAGAAATCATCCTCTACAAAAGAAATACCTTCTACAAAAGATTGCTTCAAGGAGTTTTTGGAGATAGTTGGGAAAAATGAAAATGTGCAAGAGACTATTACTGAACCAGTATCTGTACAAGTGAGATCTAAAAGTAATTCATATTTTATTATCTGTAGAGAAGAGATTTTTAACAGGAAAAATACAGTTTGTCAACTCCTCACTAATCAGTGCTCGGTCAAGTGTCAATTCAAAACCATTGGTCTGCTCTATTCTAAACAAGTAGCTATTATTTCAGGATTCGAGATATGAAAATTCTGAATAAATTTCAATTTAAAATAAAATTTTGGGGTTTTGGGGTTTTGGGGTTTTGGGGTTTTGGGG